AATGAAATATACATGGAGAAAAGAATTCCTTTTACGTGCGAGCTTTAAAATTGTTCAAGAGCTTAAGAATTTTCTCATACTTTGCAGGTTCATCATGAAATGCTTCCTTCAGAGCAGCGATATATGAAGTCGCATCACCCATGGTAGGCTTCGGCGGCGGTAGCCTTTTTCCAACCACCTTTTGAAATTGGCCGGACTCTTTTCTAGCCACAGGAGGGATGGTTATCCAAAACTCAACGGGAAGGAAGGTATTTAAACCAAGAAGCAGATTGAAGTGATCATACAATAGTTCCTCCATTCTTGCAACGACAGTAGGTGTGTCGACTCTACACAGAGAACAACAACATCAAGATTCAGTTCTCACATGTCTTTGTTCTATACATTGTTTAAGAGTAAAGCAAACATACCTACGAGCTTCAAAATCCCTAAAAATGTTGAGAAACTCTTGAAATTTTGCAGGTTCATCATCCTGTAATGCGTCACTCACAGCAAGGAAGTACGAAACAGCATCATCAATAGTAAACTCTGGTAATAAGTTTCTTTCAACCATGGTGGTGTGAAATTGACCTGATCCATTGTCCAAAGATAGAGATTGATAAAAGAACGCTTTTTTTTAGGAGACCAAACAACACACACAAAGTCATCTTCTAATATACAAAATCCTGTAAATTTCATCGCAACACGATCCTTAATAATATCCAGAATCAAACCAAAAACTCGATTTTTTAACCTAATCGTCTGATAATTGTCGCATAAACGAAACGGGAATTAGAAACGAAGGAGAAGGTGATCGTAAACTCTAATCGTCCGGTTAAATCACATTTCAATTGACCGAAACAATTTATTAATTGAAAGAGGAACCAATTATGGTTACCGATTTTCAGCAGACCGAAGCGACAATGAACAAGAAGCTTGTCTTCGTCTTCTCCGCAGGACAAAAAGAAAAAAACTCAAGAGACTGATTTGAGTTTTGGTTAACGGTTCTATATTTGTAGTAGGGAATATATCAGATTTGACTTCATTTTTTCATTTTTTTTTTTTTTAATAATCCACTTTTGTTTGCAGCTATATATTATCTCAGATATATACTTAGCATAAGCTTTTGTGTGAGTGTGTTTTTTAGTTACAAAAAGTATTGAGAAAATGAAATTTAAAAGCTTTCTATATATTATAGACGATGCGGATTTTTTTTACTATTAGAATGCAAATATTTGTACATATTAATTTAGTCCAATTTTTTTTTGTTTTAAAAAAGATATTACAAAAACATATTTAAACTAGATAGATTTAAAATTTTAGTTTTACAAAAATTCATAGTATCTTGTATTATTTTCGAGAAAAAAATGGGTAGAAAAACCCTCACTTTTTCTTAAAACATATGAAAAAAAAACATTAATTTTTAATGGATTTTTAAACCCTCATATTTTCATAAACGCTAAAATTAAACCCTAATTAATACTCAATTATGGATATATTTTTTAAGATATGAAAACAGAAAATAAAATTATTTTAATAAATTAATATGGTCTGAACAATGAGTTAATTTATATTAACAACCACAAAATGAGATTGCATATCAGTTAGATCAAAAATCAAAATATTATAAATGAATCGCTTCTGAAACGTAGATTATTTTTAATTAATTAAGAAAGTTAGCTATTATTTTGAGTTAATTTAGGAAATTCTTTTTTCAATTTCTAATTCTTTGGTTGTTGAAATAGAGATTTGTTTGAGGTAACTACGGAATTTACCAATTATTCGTGTAATCGAATATGTTATGAACATATATTTAGTATATAATATACCAAATTCAACCCGTGCATAGAGTCTATATTTTTATTTTAGAATCCTAATGAAAATATTGCGTGCACAATCTATTATTCGTTATTTCCAAAATTGCTTGCACAATCAAATTTTTAAATATTTTGTGATGTCAACGTTATTTAATCTATCTGATCATATAATCTTAACATGCCGTCTATTATAAGGATCATAATTTTATATCATATAATATATTACATTTAACCCTCCGCCTACTATAACTATTTTAAATATATCTTTTTTAGAAAATCAAATTAAAGTATTTATAATTTTTTTTATCTTTTTAATCTATAAATATTTATGATATTCATTAAAATATTAAATTAAACTATTTTTAAATGTTCCAAATTAAAATCTTTAAAAAATATTTCTTGTAGTATATAAAATTATGAATTTCAAAAAATAATTATATGAATTAAATAGAAATATTCAAACAGTTTTAAGGATCATAACTCATTTGTTGATATACTTATATAAGGAAGACAAAAGAGAAGGAGAACAAAAAGAAAAGCGATTGTATTTATATACTTAGATACTATGGGTTAATTTTAACTGCAGTTAGTTTTTCCGTTAGCAAAGTTAACAGTCGTTAACTCGGGGGTACAATTCTACTAATTTTTAAAAAACGAAGGTTTTAAAAGGCAACCGAAATTAAATTTGGTATTTTTATTCCAAATTTAATATTACGGGTATTAAACGGCCAAATAAAAATTAAATGACGGTTTTTTCGGGTTCTTTCCCATTTTGGTAAAAACTTAGCATAAGCTTTTATCTAACTGTCCTCTTCTATTTGTTTTTTTTTTTTTGTTACAAAAGCATAATTGGTAAAATCTGTGAAAATGAAATTTAAAAGCTTTCTAAATATTAAAGACGATGAGGAATTTGTTTTATTAGAATGCAGATATTTGTATTAATGTAGTCCCAAATTTTGTTTTAAAAAAAAAATACAAAACATATTTAAATATTTAATTATAAACATTTTCATAAGATCTTATATAAATTTGGTAATTCATAAAAGATTTACTTAAATTAGATAAAACATTTGTTATTAGAATTAGTTGGGTTCTTGTTTGGTTTGCTCTGTATTTTATGCTCTGTTCCTCTCTGTTTTTGCTTCTACGTTGAAGTTTTTGAGTGTTTCCCCTCTCACCCAAAAAATATCTACACGGCCCAAATCTCATGTGTACTTTGATAACCAGGAAATATTAAACCTCTAACATATATTCCACTACAAAAGAAATTATACACTCTCTTTTAGTCTCTTCTTATACACCAAAATTTATTGTACACCTCAACATAGAAAGAATCATAGCATATTTGAAATTTCATGTTAATCAAAACGAAACTCAATTTTTTACAAAAGAAACCTAAAAACAGTCACTCGTCGTTAGAAGCTCTACAATCTTTTCCGTCTCTTCATGACCCTGAACAAGTGCAACACCTGCAAAAGATAACAAGGCAAATCAAACCAAAGAACTCAGAAAGTGCAACACACACACACACACACACACACAAAGTGTCCCCTACCTCATTTTTGGACTTGTTTCCCTCTCTGAAGAACTGAGTTAACTACATGACTACCATCTCCCTGAAACAAACCCTGCACTGTTACTTAAACCGCAAGTTAACATACAGTAAATTTCAAAATGGTTTTCCTTAGGCCATCAAGATGGTTTTACCATTTAAGAATTCTATACCTTTGGCTTCCTGATAGAATTCATGTTAGCTGAAAGAAAGAGACTGAAACCAAGAAGCAGGCTCTGGTGATCTTTCAAGAGTTCATCCACCCTTGCAATGACACTAGCAGCATCGACTCTACAAAGAGACTAAGTAACATCAGAATCAAGTGACATGTGTGTTTGTTGGTTAGAATAAGAAAATGAAATATACATGGAGAAAAGAATTCATTCATACCTGCGAGCTTTAAAATTGTTCAAGAGCTTAAGAATTTCCTCATACTTTGCAGGTTCATCATGAAATGCTTCCTTCAGAGCAGCGATATATGAAGTCGCATCACCCATGGTAGGCTTCGGCGGCGGTAGCCTTTTTCCAACCACCTTTTGAAATTGGCCGGACTCTTTTCTAGCCACAGGAGGGATGGTTATCCAAAACTCAACGGGAAGGAAGGTATTTAAACCAAGAAGCAGATTGAAGTGATCATACAATAGTTCCTCCATTCTTGCAACGACAGTAGGTGTGTCGACTCTACACAGAGAACAACAACATCAAGATTCAGTTCTCACATGTCTTTGTTCTATACATTGTTTAAGAGTAAAGCAAACATACCTACGAGCTTCAAAATCCCTAAAAATGTTGAGAAACTCTTGAAATTTTGCAGGTTCATCATCCTGTAATGCGTCACTCACAGCAAGGAAGTACGAAACAGCATCATCAATAGTAAACTCTGGTAATAAGTTTCTTTCAACCATGGTGGTGTGAAATTGACCTGATCCATTGTCCAAAGATAGAGATTGATAAAAGAACGCTTTTTTTTAGGAGACCAAACAACACACACAAAGTCATCTTCTAATATACAAAATCCTGTAAATTTCATCGCAACACGATCCTTAATAATATCCAGAATCAAACCAAAAACTCGATTTTTTAACCTAATCGTCTGATAATTGTCGCATAAACGAAACGGGAATTAGAAACGAAGGAGAAGGTGATCGTAAACTCTAATCGTCCGGTTAAATCACATTTCAATTGACCGAAACAATTTATTAATTGAAAGAGGAACCAATTATGGTTACCGATTTTCAGCAGACCGAAGCGACAATGAACAAGAAGCTTGTCTTCGTCTTCTCCGCAGGACAAAAAGAAAAAACTCAAGAGACTGATTTGAGTTTTGGTTAACGGTTCTATATTGTTGTAGTAGGGAATATATCAAGATTTGACTTCATTTTTTCAATTTTTTTTTTTTTTTTAATAATCGACTTTTGTTTGCAGCTATATATTATCAGATATATACTTAGCATAAGCTTTTTTGTGTGTGTGTTTTTAGTTACAAAAAGTATTGAGAAAATGAAATTTAAATGCTTTCTATATATTATAGACGACTATGAGGAATTTTTTTACTATTAGAATGCAAATATTTGTACATATTAATTTAGTCCAATTTTTTTTTTTTGTTTTTAAAAAGATATTACAAAAACATATTTAAACTAGATATAGATTTAAAATTTTAATTTTACAAAAATTCATAGTATCTTGTATTATTTTCGAGAAAAAAATGGGTAGAAAAACCGTCACTTTTTCTTAAAACATATGAAAAAAAACATTCATTTTTAATGGATTTTTAAACCCTCACATTTTCATAAACGCTAAAATAAAACCCTAATTAATAAACTCTACTAATTCATATATTAATATAAACAATTTGATTTAAGATTTTTTTCCACTAAAATGTCAAGGTCCATAGGAATAGAAACACTGTCTAAGATCCACATAAATGGAACCATCTAAGAGAATCTCCCCTTGGATCTTAACCTTTTTTAAAATTAAAAGTTCACTTTTTCTAGGTTAAGAAAAATTAGACAAGATCTTAACTAATTTCTACTCCAATGGTTAAGAGAAAAAAAATTCAAATTGTTGAAAAACAATGTCTTACAATACAAGTAACAATCAATAAAACACATTACAGAGAAAAATTTATAGAATCAATAAAACAATTTGGAGAAAGTGAGAAAGTAAAAGAGTTTAAACTTCAGTTCCCTAACCATTTGGAGAACATTTGAGACGATTAAGTTACCTTGACACCAACTGTGCATCCAATTGTTTGAGGTGGGCGAACAATAGAAGAACCTTTGTTGATGAAGGGTACAAGTGATGTTTTTCCAACACCTACCAAAATGATTTGAATAGTTAAAAATTTGAATAGTAAAATTCAATTTACTATGATGAATAGTTAAAAATTAAACAAATGGACATTCCCAAAATTGTATTATTTTTCTTTCATTTAACAAAGAATCTGAAGCATTTTGAGAACTCCAATGGCGAAGAAATATAAGATCCACCGATGGCTTTGGATCGTAATTTAAAGAATAGTAAAATTCAACTTATTATGATGAATAGTTAAAATGTAAAAAACAATTTATTATGAGGAGGAATAAAATTTGGATAGTAAAATTCAATTTATTATGATGAATAGTTATAATGTATAGCAAAAAAGAATGTGAAATAAAAATGAATAGTTATTTTATTGAAACGTTTTAGGGTTGTATAATTAAAAATACATTCTATATCTAACATAAAGATATTTTGGATGATATAAGTAGTTATCTTTTTTTTTTTTTTTCAATTTCAAAACTAAATTAAAAATGAAGTAAAAATAAGAAATCCTATACTATTATTTGGGGAGTACAATTTACAATTACCCTTAATTAACCTTCCCCTTTGTAAGAATTTACTTAAGAATGTCATTAAAATAAAATTTTATAGAGTAAATTAATTCAAATCATTAAGGATAAACAAGTCAAATACTATTTTATGCAATTTAATTATAAAAACAAAAATCTATTAAACGCTAAAATTAAACTCTAATTAATAAACTCTACTAATTCATATATTAATATAAACAATTTGATTTAAGATTTTTTTCCACTAAAATTCTAGTTTACAATCTTTTTCTAGATTAAAAATTTTTAAGTCACAAACAAGTTAACTAAATGAAGTTTTATTCGGTTGTGTTACGAAAATTCACCAACATGAAACCAAACAAGTTTTATTACGAGTGATATATAAATCGCAAACTCGAATTTGAGAAACATAAATCGTAAATTATTGCGTTTTGTTTATATATATATATATATATATATATATCGATGTTTTAATATAACGATTTTTTTTTAATTTTAGTTGAATTTGCTATTAAAGATGAGGGTTTATTTTACCATTTATGAAAAGATAAGAGTTTCAAAACCCACAGAAATAACCTTTTTTGTTATCTATCTTCAAAAATACCCCCTTTTATATACAAAATCTTCTTTGAGTGAGAACAGATAACGAGAAGATATAATTTTCCCGCAAAAAAAATTATTTTTTCCCGCCAAAATTTTTCCTCAATCCCTTAAAACCCCTTGTAGATCATTTATAAACCCTTATATATATTTTTGGCGGGAAAATTTAATTTTTTATTTTGTTGACTTAAGTATTTTTCAAATAGAGGTAAAATGGCCATTTAAAATAAAAAGAGGACAAAATTGAAAATGACCAAAAGAGGTATCCAAAAAGGGCATTCCGAACAATTTCTATTATTTCTATATACATATAAATATATATAAATTAAGATTTTTAAAAAAATATAATATGAATTACATTTAGTTAATCATTACTTAAAAACTGATTTGCCTAATCTCAACTAGATTGGTGAATAAATTTTAATATCGCAAAAACTTTAATTTTAGAAATATATATCGCAAACTCGAATTTGAAAAACATAAATCGTAAATTATTGTGTGTGTTTTAGGTATATTGATGTTTTAATATAACAATTATTTTTTGAATTTTAGTTGAGTTTATTATTAAATATGAGGGTTTATTTTACTATTTATGAAAAGATAAGAGTTTCAAAATCCACACAAAAAAAATTGAAGGTTTTTTATATGTTTTTAGAAAAGGCAAGGTTTTTTTAAAACCATTTCCTTAATTTCGTAATTCATATAAGATTTACGTACTTAAATTATAAATTACTTGATTCTTGTTTGGTTTGCTCTTGTATTAGTTTGGAGTCTGTTCCTCTCTATTTTTGTTTCTACGTTGAACTCTGTTTTCGAGTGTTTCCCCTCTCAGTTTCTTAAAAAGATCAAACATTTGATATCAAAGAAACCTCTAACACATAGTCATTCAGTAAAAATAGTCAAACCACTACAAAAGAAACAATATACAGTAAAACCTCTATAAATTAATAACCTCTCTAAATTAATAAATTCTTCCGGTCCCGAGTTGGGACCAGTGTAAAATATGACATAAATCGATAAATTAATAAGATAATAATTTTTTTGAAAATCTCATATAAACATATGGTCTCATCGATATCATAAATTAATAATTGTATAAACTTATCAATATATATATATATAATATAAATTTATATATGTCATATTTGAATTACTATGGTATATATTTAAAATATTCTATGTAAAAAATTTAATAAAATATGACTATTATTCGAAAAAATTTTGTGTTATTTTTAAAAATTTAATAATTGCTTCTCTACTTGTAATTAGTTTTTAAAAGATATTACTTATAAAGAAAAAATTTATTTTTAGATAGAAATGTTTTTAAGAAATTACAAAATTAAAAAAATCTCTCTATAAATTAATAATTATTAATTTATTGATAAATTAATACCTCTCTAAATTAATAAAATTTGCTAGTCCCAATATTATTAATTTATAGAGGTTTTACTGTACTATCTTTTAGTCTCTTAAGGCAGACAATCAACATAGAAGCATAGCATATTTGTGAATGTCATGTTAAGCAAAATTAAACTCAAATGTTTACAAATTAACGAAACCTAAAAACACTCACTTCTCGTTAGAAGCTCAACTACATCGATTTTGTTACTTAAATCACAAGTTAACATATAGGAAATTAAACATCCAATAATTATAAGCATTTTATACCTTAAGCTAGAAAAAACAATCTTCTAGGAATAGAGGGAGTATATGTTCACATTGTATCAAGAGAAAGTGGGGTGGTAGGTGAGAAAAGACAAGTAAAGAGAGTTCTAGAGAAGAGAGAAACAAGAGCTTCCCAAGCAAGTTTCCTCTTCCTCTTTGTTGTTCTTTGGATCTTTGTTCTTCTTGAGTGCAAAATCTGTAAAACCAAAACATCAAAACCTGAAACCTTGCCTTCACATCAGCGAATTTGTTACTTAAACCGCAAGTTAACATATAGTAAACCTCCAAAAAAGTTGCAGATACATATGTTTTTATCGGTACACCAAGTTTGCTAATTCATCGGAAGTTTCAGAATAAATACTCAGCTTCACATAAAAGGGGACTTAGAAAACGAACAGAAGTCCACGTCAAAAGAAACAAACCTAAACAAAGCTGCAAAAAACACAGTATTCACAGCTCCCAAACTTGAGATATCTAGCTCCAGCTCTTGGCTTTCTGCTTCAACAGCCCGTGAAAGAGAAGGGCATTGCAATTAGCAAAGGGTCTTAAAGTTGATGCTGGCATAGCATTAGCTGCTGGAAGAATTTTGAAGCACATCACATATTAAGAACGTCCCTAGGTAATAGCAGTTTTTTCTTGAGACCAGGTTGTTAAAACTTCTTGAACTCAAGCCTAAACAGCATCTTAACCTCGACTAATAGCATGCTAACTATAATTGCAGAGAAGACAGAAGAAAAATTAACTCTCCTGCTACACATAGAGGTCAGAGTAAATCTACAATCCCACAGTGCAAGCAACGGGAACATTTGCAGTCTTACCTGAAACACCAAACACCAGGCTTAAATACAGGGATCGCAAGACGAAGACTAAATGCTTGTGCATAGAATTTGTAATTAACCTTAGACCAAATTTAAGGCTTAGCTGAGTAAATCACAAATTAACAAGTAGCCATTGACTAACATGTTATTAAAATCCATGCATAGCTAAGTTATGACCCGTTGATTCTGCATCTTTTGACTCTACAGCTGCACTTCGAGTAGTATCACACTTACCTCTACCTTATTCTGCATTGAACGCTTTCTCCATAGTTCCCACTCCTCTGAAAGACAAAGAGTTGTTGTAGCGGTTTATACACCATGATTAACTCATTGATCCAAGCTAATGACGACCCTTTGACTGATTGGAGTTTGCATATAGATATAACTGATAAGTTATAAGGGAACGTAGCTATAAGGTAATTGTCCAAGAACTAAAGCTTATTAAGTTTGTGTTAGGTTTCTGAACAGTAATCACAAAGGACTAACCACCTTCAAAAGATATATCAGCAGAATCTTCGTTGTTACTTCTATAACCATTTCGGACAAAAAAGAGAGAGAGGACTTTAAAAATGTAATTGGCTAGTACTAATACCTCTAATTTTTTCGAGACTAGTTAATGTTGGATCCACCCGAAGGCAGAACCCTCTCCTAAAATAGGCAAAAGCAACTGGAATTCTAAAAAAAAAAGGCGGAAGAATATATATTTCAAATATGCACTGACTAAATGGATGCGTGCACTATTGAAGAGCAGAGTAAAGTCGGTTTATTTACATTTTAAGTCTCGCGTGCACTACCAGATTCTCTCATTCTTCCGATGTGGGATACGTGAAGCTCCTTGTTAAAAGGCTTTGTGGTTTCGGCCATTTTGGGTATTAAAGGCCTAATATTTACTAGTTTGAATTCAACTTTTTTTTGTTTTCTTTTCCTTTGGTACATCTCTACACTAAAATCTACTATATCTCACTAGTATTTCTTCTACTATGTCTTAACTAGTCTCCTTGGATTGTACTTGATGAATAGATTTCGTTAAGATGTTCTCCAAATGGTTAGGGAACTGAAGTTTAAACTCTTTTACTTTCTCACTTTAACCATTGGGAGAACATCTTAACGAAATGGATGCGTGCACTATTGAAGAGCAGAGTCAAGTCGGTTTATTTACATTTTATGTCTCGCGTGCACTACCAGACTCTCTCATTCTTCCGATGTGGGATACGTGAAGCTCCTTGTTAAAAGGCTTTGTGGTTTCGGCCATTTTGGGTATTAAAGGCCCAATATTTACTAGTTTGAATTCAACTTTTTTTCGTTTTCTTTTCCTTTGGTACATCTCCACATTAAAAACTACTATATCTCACTAGTATTTCTTCTACTATGTCTTAACTAGTCTCCTTGGATTGTACTTGATGAATAGATTTCGTTAAGATGTTCTCCAAATGGTTAGGGAACTGAAGTTTAAACTCTTTTACTTTCTCACTTTAACCATTTGGAGAAGGCGTTATACGGTTTAAAGCAAGCACCCCGAGCGTGGTACCAAGAACTCAAAACATTTATATGTAGTGCCGGGTTTTCTAATTCTCTCGCAGATACGTCGGTTTTCATCTATATCCAAGGTGCTGACATTGTCTATATCTTGGTTTATGTGGACGACATCATTGTCACGGGCTCGCGTCCAGCCTTGATCTCCGATTTTATCACCGCTTTGGCGAATAGATTCTCACTCAAGGACCCTAAAGATTTATCATATTTTCTGGGAATAGAAGCTACTCGGACATCTCGTGGTCTCCATTTAATGCAAAGGAAATATCTTCTTGACCTGCTGACGAAAACAAATATGTTAGACGCCAATCCAGTTACGACTCCAATGGCACCGAATCCTAAGCTCACACTTGATTCGGGCAACATCCTTGATGATCCGCGAGACTATAGAACTGTGCTTGGCAGCCTTCAATATTTGAGCTTCACGAGACCGGATATCGCCTATGTAGTCAACCGTCTCTCTCAGTTTATGCATCGTCCCACTGATTTGCATTGGCAAGCCGTCAAGCGCTTATTGCGCTATCTCTCCGGTACGATCTCTCACGGTATCTACCTCCATGCTAATTCACCTATCTCTCTTCATGCGTATTCAGACGCAGATTGGGCACGTGACACTGATGATTGGGTCTCTACCAATGCTTACATTTTGTATCTTGGAAAGACTCCGATTGCGTGGTCTTCAAAGAAACAAAAAGGCGTCGCTAGATCCTCTACCGAAGCAGAATACCGGGCTGTTGCCAACACCGCTTCTGAGATACGCTGGGTTTGTTCTCTTCTAACTGAACTTGGGGTGACGCTCCCTACTACACCGGTTGTTTACTACGACATTATAGGGGCTACGTATCTCTCCGCTAATCCCGTCTTCCACTCGAGGATGAAACACCTCGCATTGGACTACCATTTCATTCGTGACAATGTTAGGTCTGGAGCCTTGCGGGTCACTCATGTGTCTACAAATGATCAACTTGCAGATGCTCTTACGAAGCCGTTAGCTCGCTCTCGGTTTCATCAATTGTTTGACAAGATTGGAGTGACGAAACTCCCTCCATCTTGAGGGGGCGTGTAGAGTATGTATATAATAAGGGTATATTGTAACAATCACATTATAATGAATAACACATTCTCATAAACCTATAAAAAGTTCTTGGGGGCACACAGACGGAGGAAGTTGAGTTCCTTGGTAAAATTTCGATGAAGACTATTTTTGGTAAACGGAAACTGAAAAAAGATGGATCTGAAGGGAAAATGGTTGTCATTCCCTCTGTCGAAGAGCTTCAGCGAGAAGATCGAGAGGCTTGGATTTCATATTCTGCCTTGGATGCGATAAGCACACTAAAGCTTTACGAGAGCATGACAAAGAAACTGCAACTGTGATTTAGTTAATGTTAAATAGTTGGTTCTTACCCGACTAACAAGTTGGTTACACTAGCCCATTGTTTCGCGTTTGATGATGATGTTAGGTAAGGGCTCCCACACAGAAGTGAGAAATGAGCAACGATGATTCAGACGAGTCTCGTCCTCACACGTGTCAAGCTATGCTCCAGACACGTGTAAACTTTGCAATTGGTTACTTTATTGATGCGCAACTGTCGGCGCCTACTCTGAAGTTTTTTAAATTAATCAATTTTTAAGTATAAGACTCTGACTTCAGAATATTAAGGATCCATGGAACATTGGAATTTGCCAGATGATGAACAACCGTCTGGTGAACGGTTCGAACTTCGAACCAGTGTGTTCTTCTGCGTCTATTGATGGTCGATTAACGGTGTGTTCGGACGTGCCAAAGGAGAAGATTTACTACTAGACGAATTTGTCTTACACAAATATTCCAATGAAACATTGTGAACATTCAAATCAATCAGACTCTCAAGAGTTCAAGGGTTTTCATCAGAAAGCTACATCATCGAAAAGCATCAACCTTCGAGGCCGAGGGTGGATGTCAACCACGTACACAACTCATCCATCTCCTGCGGGATTGTGTAGTGACCAAGTGCACTGTAAGGTTTAAAGGTGACCTTCTTAAACCCATTTGAAAGCAAGGCCTGTGAAGATTTCTCCCCAAACTTGAACGGTACCACATCATCAGCTGGAAACCAAATTACGTAGATGAATCAACATAAGAACAGGAAGAAAATAAAATCTTAAAAATGTAACCCTTCTTTTACTTGAATCAGTGTTATGGAACAATTTGAATAACCAGAAGTAAACTGGTATAGCTCATGAGACTATTTTTCTTTGAGAATATTAAATGCATTTATAGCCATATTAAAAAATACTGAGAAGTGAAACAGTTCAGAAAGTAAGGGTAATGTAATATGTACAATTACCTTTTCCATGACAGACTATAATGGGCAACGATGCAGCTCGGTTCTTGATCTGTTCCTCTTCTAGTTTGCCACCCAATGTCCTTTGAGAAAAATATACGCACCAAGGTGACTCCAATATCCCAATTTAAACTAGGAGAACGTAACGAGAAGAGGTAAACATACTTTGCACAAGGAAGCCAGCCGCTTAAGCCTATGATTGTGCTTAAATTGATAGGGTACGGATTGCCATTTCCATATTTACCGAGAGCAAAACAAGTTGCAGAATACAGAGATGTCGCTGCACCGACTAACTGAATTTATTCTCATACTTCCTGTTCATTAATTAGCATCCCCAATCGAAATATTAAGAATAAACAAAGTCTGAATCCAAGCAAGAGACAACAAAACCAGAAACAACGTCTGAAACCAAGCCGGAGACGAAACCTGAACCTCAGAAGCCTAAACATATGAGGAGAGTGTCCAGTGCAGGGCTTAGAACTGAGTCAGTGTTGCAGAGGAAAACTGAAAACTTTAAAGAGTTCTATTCATTGGGAAGGAAACTTGGACAAGGCCAATTTGGGACGACGTTTTTATGCCTTGAGAAAGGTACGGGGAACGAGTATGCGTGTACGTCGATTTCCAAGAGGAAGCTTTTGACGGATGAGGACGTTGAAGATGTGAGAAGGGAGATTCAGATAATGCATCACTTGGCTGGTCATCCAAATGTTATATCTATTAAAGGCGCTTATGAGGATGTTGCTGCGGTACACCTTGTGATGGAGTTGTGTTCGGGTGGCGAGCTTTTTGATAGAATTATTCAACGTGGACATTACACTGAGAGGAAAGCTGCTGAGCTTGCGAGAACCATTGTTGGGGTTTTAGAGGCTTGTCACTCTCTTGGTGTTATGCATCGAGACCTCAAGCCCGAGAATTTTCTATTCGTTAGTAAAGAGGAAGATTCCCTCTTGAAAACGATCGACTTTGGACTCTCAATGTTCTTTAAGCCAGGTTCGTATTTATGGTAACTTGTCTTTGATCATTTAATTTACAACTTCTATGTTCGATTTTGGAATACTATTCCTTCCACTTTTGCAGATGAGGTTTTTACAGATGTTGTTGGTAGTCCGTATTATGTAGCTCCAGAAGTTCTTAGAAAGCGTTATGGTCCTGAATCAGATGTGTGGAGTGCTGGTGTGATTGTTTACATTTTGTTAAGCGGAGTTCCTCCTTTTTGGGCCGGTAAGAGACGTTGCAATGTAGATAAATGCATCTGATTGTTCTTGTTAGGCTCTGAAGCAAATTTGTTTTCCATGAAATATGCAGAAACCGAACAAGGTATTTTCGAGCAGGTCCTTCATGGAGATCTTGACTTTTCATCTGATCCATGGCCAAGCATCTCTGAAAGTGCAAAAGACTTGGTGAGGAAAATGCTTGTTCGGGACCCCACGCGAAGACTAACCGCACATCAAGTATTATGTAAGTTATTTAAGTCTAAATCATTCATCTTAATTCTATTGAGCACAGAGCATAAACTGGTATATCTTCTAACAAACATATGCTAGCTGATTTTCTAAATACATTGTCCTATTTGAATTTCACCGTTGTGCTTCTTCTCAAGGCGTTTTGTCTATGAACAGGTCATCCATGGGTACAGATTGACGGTGTGGCTCCAGATAAACCTCTGGACTCTGCTGTTCTGAGCCGTATGAAGCAATTTTCTGCAATGAACAAGTTCAAGAAAATGGCTCTTAGAGTAAGTTATCTTTCTAACTCTAAACAAGATCCCAACAAAAGAAACACAGAACAGAAGATAGAATAAGTTTGGCCTTTTTTTCAACTTGTCTTATCCGAAGAAGAAATAGCCGGTTTAAAAGAAATGTTCAAGATGATTGACACAGACAACAGTGGTCAGATAACTTTTGAAGAACTGAAAGCAGGACTAAAACGAGTTGGTGCCAATCTCAAAGAGTCAGAAATTCTTGATCTAATGCAAGCTGTAAGTCTTTTAACCCAAGAATACTAGTCAGATTTGTCTGAACTCTTAGCAAATCAGGTCTCTTTTGCTCTTTTCCTTTACTCTGGATTCCAAACTCATGACCAACTTAAATACTCTTTTCTGTTTTCTGTTGATTAGCTCGTTTATGTGAAAAAAAGAGTTAGATTTATCCGATTAGCTCGTTTATGTTAAAAAAAAGTTAGATCTAAGGAACAGGAAGTATAAGAATTCACTAACATAAAGCCTCGTCCCTTTCAAATCGGATAAATCTAAACCCGAATTGGGACGATGTTCGCTTCGTACTGGACTCTGTTCAGGTAAAATTGACGCCGTTGAGAAGCTGAGTAAGTTTGAAGAGGAGAATTCTCTAATCTGGTGGCCACCGGAATCGGTTCTCGAGCTTGCTCGTCTCGCTGTTGACTCCGGTGGTGATCCCGGTTCAATTCAGCGAACTCTCGATCCCAAAATGATCCCGGTTTGTCTCCAATTTGATGGTTTGATTTGGTTATTGGTAAGCTTGAGATTAGCTTGGCTGAACACCAATAGGGGCAAGAAAAGAGGAATCAAATTGAAAGAGAAATTGAATGTTGTTGCGGCAGCTAATGCGTATTGGAGGAAGAACTTAGCATTGTGAGAGAGTGATCTTATTGATTTAGTGGTGTTGCATGAACTTAGCATGTAAGAATTGAGGTCTGTCTTGGTTTTTAGTGGTGAAAGGTGTTCAAAAACCAGTGACTTGTGTCGTGTAGGATTTAGATTCTAGGAGGATTGGTTTGGAATTGGATATGTTCATTATACATGTAGCCATCTTTCTGCAGGGTGGATTAGGTTGAAAAAAGAAGAAGCAAGTTTTAGTGTTGTTCACATGATAAATGTAGTAACCGGTGCTTGAGGAAGAACAGGAAGATGTGGTAACATTAAGCAGAACACTTATTCTTGTTTTACAAAGACACAAACAACACTTCTTGTTTTACAAAACACAACATTTTTTCTTGTTTTCCAAGCTTGGAAGTGATGAGTTATATATTGAAATCTCTACTTCTTGTTGATTGACTGATCGAGCTACTTTTAAAACATTGAAACATTGTTGCAGGATGGGTGAATAGACTACAACTAGTTTGTGGTAATGATGCAGAGAGCATAATGGGAGGACCTGTGAAGATGGGTTTAGCGAACAGCATTAGCATTTCTCTGAAACATTAGTTTTCAGATTACAAATCCAAAATCAACAAGAGCTTCTTCCATTGTTTTATATATGAAATATATGAGTCGATGATCATGAATTTTAAAGAACCCCTAACGAAAGTTTTACCATTGGAGGAGGAAAAGATTTTGTATTTCAATAGAAGCTCTTAACTTTAAATTATGCAAAATTTATGTTTAAAAAATTTGTGAGAGCCTCCACATGGTTCTTACCATTGGAGATGTTCGTCATTTTATAGCAGAGGTAAAAAAAGCTATTTTAAAACCATTATTGGTGTTTGATCTTATTATGGTGTTGTGATCTGATTGATGATGCTAATGAACAGGAAGTATAAGAATAAACCGAGCTTCCTTTTTTTGTTTATACTTTTCTGTTTTCTGTTAAATAGCTCGTTTATGTGAACAGGAAATTTATGTTATTGGGGATTTTTGACTTTATGTTAAATAGTTTATGTGCTTATAATTAGTTATGAAACTGAAATAAAATTTATTAGTGTATAGTGATACAACACTTTAATAAGATCTACATGAGTTTCTAAATAACATTTCATTAGTAGTTTGGATAAATTAATTACGGCATAGTATGAAGTATGAACCAATTTTTTTTTTGGACGCTGAAAAGTGAAAACCTTTTATTGCATAATGACTAAGAGTCTGTGACAACAGTAACTTACTATATATTGTAGAGGAGGAGGGGTGAAAAAAAAGTAGAGAGACTGGTCCAAAAACTTAACCCCACTCAATAAACCCAGACGTGACTTGTTTGACGATAACTCCATCTTTCTATTTTGGGCAACGAGGTCCCCTTCCCATTACGTCTTGACGTGGACCCTGTCCGTCTATTTTTAGCAGATCTATCCAACGGTTCTTATTCTTTCTCCGACCCTTCACGACATTGGCTCAAAGCCGTCCGATTCTCATCTCACGCCAATGGACCACATCACACACCAGTACTTCGCAACTTAGCTGTCGTGTAGGATTTCACGTGGCATTTATTTGTAGTGCAAACATTGCAAGTTGATATGGTCCCCTATCGATCACCGTCGTCTCTTTTGCTTCACATCGAGATTCTTCTTTCTTTCCTACGTGTAATAGCATTTTGATTTTGAGAAGTTCTTTAGGACCGTTGGATCTCTCATCGTTGGATGATCCATCCATCCAAATGGAACCTGTATTATGTGCTCCATCCAGGGCATTGATCCCAAAGCCAAAAGAGTATTTCCAAGTGCTTCTTTCTTTCTTACTAACCTTTTTTCTTATGCTTTAAACGGAGAAATTTATGTTGGGGAATTGGGGATTTTGAAAAAGGAACATAAACGAGCTAATCAACAGCTATCCATATACCCGAAAATCGGAAGATAAACCCCAATTTATGTCTCTTTAATCGGATAAATCTAACTTTTTTTTCACACTGACAGTATCCAATTTATGTTCGTTTATTGTTCAAGTACTACACATGGTTCTTATACGAATGTGTTATTTCTTTTATTAAATGTGTCGGCACTTGGCCGAGCAAATTAGTGGATGTTTCCGTTTTGAATTTATGAAGAGATATCATTAAATTAAACATGCACAAAACCTAAGCAATAAGATGATTGCGAGGAGTCTTCATGATCATAAACAAAGTTGTTTTCTTGGATATCTCTCGAATTTAAAAATTCACTTTTACATGTAATGTTATCTCAATTTGTTTACGTATTTAAACCTCTTTACTTTGAGTTTGTTATAATAGGTCGTCAACTGGAAAAGAATAAATTGATTAATTGATAATGTTAGCAATAAATAAAATAAAATTTGACTCACTACCTAAATTATGTTTGATATTCTCTTCATACTCTAGAAATAATGTAACATGTTTAAAATAAAATATTCTCTTCATACTTTCTCTTAATATACCAAGTGAGCTACTTAAGGATTGTACGTGATTATGAAGTTGGAAAGAACAACGGAGCTTCAAGCGACAGCTCTGTCCTTCATCACATCAACATCTCTTAAAAACTTGATAATTCAAGCACCAAATGGGTTGGGGAAGATTCTGCCAAATGGGTTGGGGAAGATTCAACAACAACTTCATTACTTATTTTTTTATTTTTCCGTAGCCAATCGGTGTGCCATGAATGAAGCTATAAGGGAACGAGGCTATAAGGTAATTGTCCAAGAACTAAAGCTTATTAAGTTTGTGTTAGGTTTCTGAACAGTAATCACAAAGGACTAACCACCTTCAAAAGATATATCAGCAGAATCTTCGTTGTTACTTCTATAACCACTTCGGACAAAAAAGAGAGAGAGGACTTTAAAAATGTAATTGGCTAGTACTAATACCTCTAATTTTTTCGAGACTAGTTAATGTTGGATCCACCAGAAGGCAGAACCCTCTCCTAAAATAGGCAAAAGCAACTGGAATTCTCAAAAAAAAAGGCGGAAGAATATATATTTCAAATATGTACTGACTAAATGGATGCGTGCACTATTGAAGAGCAGAGTAAAGTCGGTTTATTTACATTTTAAGTCTCGCGTGCACTACCAGATTCTCTCATTCTTCCGATGTGGGATACGTGAAGCTCCTTGTTAAAAGGCTTTGTGGTTTCGGCCATTTTGGGTATTAAAGGCCTAATATTTACTAGTTTGAATTCAACTTTTTTTCGTTTTTTTCCTTTGGTACATCTCCACACTAAAATCTACTATATCTCACTAGTATTTCTTCTACTATGTCTTAACTAGTCTCCTTGGATTGTACTTGATGAATGGATTTCGTTAAGATGTGTCCATCATTTACCTTAAACATGTATTTAACTAAGCTACCATTTATTTATGTGCCTTTTCAGTTTGATATGAAGGATAACTCAGTTAAACTAGCTCGCCTAGAAAGCTAAGCCACGTCCTAAATCCAAGCCATAGCCTCTCTTGCAGGGGAACAACTTTCAAAAACTTTCAAATTAAAGTTGCATATGGAACAAAGCAGACTTTAAAGAGGATATTTTCTTGGTTTCTGAAATGCATGGCATCATTATGATTACGTAAGCCTATGTCACTTACATACACATTTTTTTTTGCTTATAAATATAGACTCCAACATCTCTCATTTCACACATCAAACATCTCTCACATCTCTTACATCAAACATCTCTCATTTCGCACATCTAAAGCATGGCTAGCAACGCACCATCGAAAGATCTCGGAAGTGAGGACAAGAAGGCCGGTGATGACAAGAAGACCGGAAACAAAAAAGTGATCTCTCTCTCTCTCTCTCTCTCTCTCATCATGTTTTGCATTTCTCTGTAGGATTCGGCGGAGGGATCGTCTCAAGAAGGCTTGGACTATTGGGAGGGTTGTCTCGAAACAAGGGCTGAGAGGAAGAAGGAGAACTTCAGGCATGAGGCTAAAGCGGGCACCGGGACAGGCGCCAATAAGAAGAAGTAACGGAGAGGAGTGAGTCCTATGGAATAATGGGTTAAGTAGAAGCTGTTGGTTTCTTTTATTATAAGTATTAATGTATGTTGTCCTTGTAATAACGTAATGAAAAAAAGGGTTTCAAGAAAACACTTACGTCTTACTAGAGAAATGAGACAAAGCTACTCAAAGTTATAAATCTAAGAAAAAGATTGGCTTTTTGAAATTAGTGTAGGATCTCGTCCTCTCTTCCGGTTACTACGGAAACACTTGGAAGCAAAGCAATGATAATCAGATTCCCTTGAGCTTTTATGTTCTCTACCCCAAAAAAAAAAGAAAAAAAAAGAGTAAATATATGTTTACCACTTTGCTAGAGAAGCTAGGAAGCTTGATCCATATATGTTTTTGATACCTTCAACAATGGTAGATATATAATGAAGAGTAAACAAACAAACAGCTGTGAACCATGGATAAGCGGCTCTATTGCTACGGTCTCTTGCTCCTCTCTCCTCATGTCTTTTCCCTTTTTCATAGTAATACACTTGAGTACTCTACAATCTTGCCTTTAGCCACACATGGTTCTTATACGAATGTGTTATTTCTTTTATTAAAAATGTGTCGGCACTTGGCCGAGCAAATTAGTGGATGTTTCCGTTTTGAATTTATGAAGAGATATCATTTCATATATTTGATTTTAACTATAGTTCCTCATGGTTAATCTATTGAAAACCAGACCAAAAAACCAAAATTTGCAAGGAATAATTGAAAATGATTTCACAACACTACAAGAAAACATAGCAAATTCCGACAAACCAAATAGTCGGAAATTCGTCGGAAACATCCATTTCCGACGAATTTCCGACTACACCAAGTTTGTCGGAATTCTCTGGTCGGAAAACAATATTCGTCGGAAATTCGTCGGAAATTTCTGTCGAGATGATTTGTCGGAAAATTCGTCGGAAATATTTGTCGGAAAATCGTCGGAAATATTCGTCGAAAGCCCGTCGGAAAGGTGTCGGAAATGTCCGTCGGAATAGCGACGGAAAATTGCCGACGATATCCCGACGGCATATTCCGACGCCATTCCGAGGAGATTCCTACAAACGACGCCGCAAGATCGAGTACGATTCCGACGATTTTCCGACCACAAATCGTCGGAAGTTCGTCGGAACGTTCCGACGAATTTCCGACGAATGGATGTTTCCGACGAATTTCCGACAAAATATAATATAATAATATATTTAATAGTTTCCGACGAATTTCCGACAAATCGTATTTTTTTATTATTTTCCGATGAATTTCCGACGAAATATTATATTTTATTAAAAAAAAATATATTAAATTAAATTAAATAATATTAATTTAATTTAATTGTAATAATTCAATAAAACAAACACAAATATTATATAAAAACATAAATAAAAAAAATAAAATTCACCACATAATATAAAAAACATAATTAAACATTAATAAGTTCTTAAACAACTAAAAATTATTACAAACGCAAATATTATATATTATCAAATAGAGTGTCAACGTTATTTGTTTCATTTTGATTTCCGGGTTGATCTTGGCGAGAAGGCGGAACGATGTCGGGATGAAGACGGGCCATCGTATCCATCCAAAACTTACAATCTTTTAATTGAGTCTTCAACTCGATGATTTCGGCTGCGTTTGCTTGACAATTCACGTGTGCATGTGAATACGACGAACTTCCGCCCATGTCTTCGTCATACGGAATGGAACCGTATCCAAATCTACGTCCTTTTTTAACTTCAACTTGCTATTATAATGAAAATGTTGTTAGGAAATAAAACATATTATCTAAATTATAATATTTTAATTACTATTACTTACCGATCGGAAAATATCGTTTTTTTCTGCTTGGGTGAGTTGATAATCATCGGGCGTGTCTGATTGTTGACTCAATTGTGTGAGTTTCTCTTTCTCCATCTCCCGACATCGACGAGCTATTGCCTCAGCTTTTTTATCAACAAATGTCCCGTCCGATTTCCGTTTGTGAGTCTCCTCCATGAATGTCACCATATCGGGATACTCACCGGTTTCGGGATTACGCTTGCATTTAAAATATTTATTAGTTAAAAATTTACAATAAAATTTATTATAATGCAAATTGAAATGTAAAAAATTTAAATTTTTATTTACCATTTTTTCCTTTTTCCGGACATATGGCATTGATCCACAAGTATGTTTAGCCATGCCATAGCCTCCGCGTTCACTCTTGCGATTTTGAGAATTAGTTTCACTACGGGACTTATTTTGCTCTTGTAACCAATATGCAATAAGCCCTTGCCAAACGTTTTCTCGCATCCATTTTGGCTTTTCTTTCCCGTTAAGCCATTTCTTTTTCCATCCATAAACATAATCCAATAAACGTACCCCACATATCTCCTCAAATTTTTCTTGTACTTCGCCCGTAAGACCATAATCCCAATTAAATTTTTGCTACAATGTTAAACAATTTAAAATATATATATTTTTAGTGTTGTAAAATTTTAAAATTTAATTTTTTTAGCTACAATTATAAACAAAGTAAATAAAGCATAAATTTTATTTAAATAAACTAACCGCAAATGCCTTAAACCAACGTTTCTTTGTGTCTCCGGAGACCGACGTAATATTCGGAGCGGGATCGGGGAAATCGCTCTCCATGATTTTCTTGATAATCTTTGTGAATCCTTTATCGAATCGATACCTATAATTACCAAATTATTTAATTAAGATTATCTACGTAAAACTATAAATTAAATAATACAATTTCTTACCAAGTTGTTCCGTGCATACGGCTTGGGTCGATCTTTTTCAATTTATCTCGACCCGGAGCACGGAGTAATTGGTCTAGCGTCATAGAATCGAGTGGATTTGCATCATCATTCCGTGTAGGCATCGCCAATGGTTCCGTCTCCGGAACTTCCGTGTCCTCCATGGGAAAATCCTCCGGTGGTTGGGTTTCGGAACCAAGATTCAAATCCGGAGCAAACCCACGTTCATTGCAATACGCCATATATCCACTCCACGATCCATTTTCCATCTCCTTAATCAAAAAAAAAATTTATAATTAGTCTTTTGAATTTTATAAACAAAATTATGAAGAAAATAAAACTAAACATCTTACCTTAAGATGTGAGAAATGTGAGAAGATGTGAGAAGTGTGAGAATAATCACGTTTGAAGTGTTTCCAAGTCGTTTGAAGTCGTTTGAAGTGTGAGAAGTGTGAGAAATCTGTGAGTCGTATATATGTAAAAATTTCCGACGACCATTTTGTCGGAAATTCGTCGGAAAAAAATGCAGCGGGAATTTCAAACCAATTAACTTTCCCTCTACATTTACGAGATCCGCGAGAAATTAATGTAACCAATTTCCGACGAAATTTCCGACGAAATTTAATAATTTGTCGGAAATTTCGTCGGAAACTGTTCCAGCGAGATTTAAT